TATATTGTTAAACAAAAAAGTTTTCCATACAAAAACCTACTTATAGACCTATCGTTCCTATGGTAGCTATTTGATACAGTTGTCCTATGTTGATAAAATTTTGTAGTTATGTTCAATATCTTTATAAACAAAAAAGTTTTTCATCCAAGACCTACTTTTCGACCAATCGCTCCAATGGCAGCTATATGATAAGTGGTCCGATGTTGTTCGTTGATATGGCAACTAAATGATATAATTGTCCGAAGTTAAAAAAAATATGCATATATTTATACCCTGAACCCATTAAAAATGGGTAAAAAGGGTATAATGGTTTTGTGCAAATGTATGTAACAGGCAGAAGGAAGTGCATACATATATTCTTGATCAGCATCAATAGCCGAGTCGATCTAGCCATGTCCGTCTGTCTGTCCGTCCGTCCGTCCGTATGTATGAACGATCTCAGAACCCATAAGAGCTAGAGACTTGAAATTTTAGTTGTAGGTCCTCCTAGTACCAGCGCAAATCGAGTTTGATTCCGATATTCGATAACTTGCCCCGTTTCCAAGTATTCGATAAAAATCGAAATCCTGTTTTTTGGGCAATTTTGGTAAATAATATGAGCTAGAGTCACCAAACTTGACATATAGCTCCTAGAATAGTATATATATATCAAGTATCTTTCATTTTATACCTATTGCCACCTCTCCGCTACCACCACAAAGCTATAAATCAAGTTAATTATCCAACTTGTATTGCCTATCAATTTAAGCCACAATTTATATGCAATTGACTTTTTGAGAATACACAAATATTCTATATTCTATTCTATAATAAGATGTACTGTACTAAGAAACACAAAAGTTATGTGTGCACGTTTTAGCAGCAGCTAGCGCAAATTCCAAGAATTTCTGTATACATGTACACACACACATTCATGCGCGTCTGCTTCGAATTCTATCAACAGCATTGCAATTGCGATTGTATTGTTTTCTGTGCTGATATTTTTCTTTTTTTTTTCTCATTAAAACTCAAATATTGGTGTGGCTCTTGAGTAGAGGCGGCGGCAAGTGGTGCTGTTAGTTGCGAGTTCGAACCCTTCCAATGGAACAATTGTTTTTAATTTTTCTTTATTACTACTGAAGCAAACTAGCGCGTAGCGCGAGCTGCATTTGGTGTTGGAAGAAGAGTGTTCAGGGTATCCTCTAGTCGGGTGGTCTCGACTAGAATCTCTTACTTGTTTTGGTCTAAATATGTTGATAAACAAAAAAGTTGTTCATATAAGTACTTAATTTTCGTTCAATCGTTCCTATGTCAGCTGTTATATGATGTTGATAAGATTTTGTGAATATAAAGAGCATAGTAAAACTTTTGAAGGCCGAGTTTGGTCAAGACATATTTATATTGTTTTCTTTACAAGAACTTACTTTGCGACCGAGCGTTTCTTTATCAGCTATATGATATTGTGATCTGACCGGCTCCGACATATGTACTGCCTGCAGCAGAAAGAGGTAGCTTAGCAAATTTTCAAAATTATAGCTTTAAAACTGAGAAACTAGTTAACATAGAAACAGCCAAACGGATAAACAGATAACTCAGCTGTTGATGCTGATCTAGAATATACTTATATACTTTATGGGGTCAGAGATGTCTTCTTCTGCGCGTTACACATTTCCTGACAAATTATAATACCCTCTACAAAGGAATTAAAAATATACAAAACATATATCGCTCTGTGTTAAGATATGATAGAGCTTATTTGAACAGTTGCCCCAAAATATCAAAGCTGCTAGCGGGCACAAAACAAAACTGACACAGATGTATCGACTTCGCTTATGGGTCGGAAGAGTCTGCTTCTATATGTCACAAGTTTGCGGCAAAATGGAACTGTGTGTTGCTACAATTAATACTAGCGGGTATTTCCTGGCCTTAACGGTGGCAATTTTTGTGCTTCGAATTTTCATGTACACCTAATTATGTTTTTACACGGTTTTGACGTAACACGGTTTGGAAATAAAAAAATTTTAAATTTGTTTACACTATTTTAAACAATTTAGCACGATTCGAAAACTTTTGGGGTTAAATTTTTTTTGTCAGATTTATTTTTTGCGCACACAAGCAATTGTCATACATTTAATTTACATTACTTTCATTTTTATACCCTGAACCCATTGAAAATGGGTAATAAGGGTATTATGTTCTTGTGAAAAAGTATGTAAAAGGCAGAAGGAACCATCTTCGACCCCATAAAGTATATATATACTTGATCAGCATCAACAGCCGAGTCGATCTAGCCATGTCCATCTGTCTATCCGTCTGCTGGTCCGTCCATATGTATGAACGCAAGGATTTGAGAACCTATAAGAGCTAGTGACTTTAAATTTTAGCTGTAGGTCCTCCTAGTCCATGCGCAGTACGAGTTTGTTTCCAAGTAATCGATAAAACTCGATATCGAAATCTTGTTTGAAACTTGACTTGTAGCTTCTAGAATAGTATAGATATTTCAAGTATCTTTCATTTTATACCTATCGCCACCTCCGCGCTTCCACCTCATAGCTATAAATCAAGTAAATAAACCAATTTATGCTGCCCACCAATATATGCCACAATTTAAATGCAATTGACTTTTTGAGAATACACAAATATTCTATAACACAATAAGATGTTCTATAGAAAATTTCATCAAAATCGTTTAAGAAACACAGAAATGATTAAAGAAAATGTGTTTTGGATTTTCTCGTATCAGGCTGCAAGAATTTCTGTATACATGTACACTTACACATTCATGCGAGGCTGATGTGAATTCTATTAACAGCATTGCAATTGTAATTGTATTGTTTTCTGGGATGCTATTTAAATCGGTTTTTTTCTCACTGAGACTCAATTGTTGGTGTGGCTGTTGAGTAGAGGCGGCGGCATGTAGTGCAGTTTGTAGAGGGTTCGAACCCTGACGAGGAAACTATTTTTTTTTTTTTTGGCTGGTGTGGCTGTTGAGTAGAGGCGGCATCAAGTAATGTGGTCAGTTGCAAGTTCGAACCCTGCCAAGGGAACTTTTTTTTTTTTATTAATTTATCTTTATTACTACTAAAGCAAACAAGCGCGTAGCTGCATTTGATATTGGAATAAGAGGGTTCAGGGTATCCCCTAGTCGGGAGCGCCCGACTAGAACCTCTTACTTGTTTTGGTTTGTATTTATCTTTATTACTACTAAAGCAAACGAGCGCGTGTTGGAATAAGAGGGTTCAGGGTATCCCCTAGTCAGGAGCTCCCGACTAGGACCTCTTATTTGTTAAGCTTAGAGTGCATATCTGTTTTTAAAATAAACATGAATACTTATTCTTAAAAAATCCTTGTTTTTCACTAATTTTAATAGTTTTTAGATATAAGGAACAAATCAACTATTTTTGCAAACGATCAATGCCTTTCTTTACACGGTTTTTTCTGGAACCAATCTACCGTGTAAAAACAGAATAAGGTGTATTTCCCAACCGTCCAAAAATGTAAATCTTGTACTCTCGTACTCGTACATTTTACATAGATATTTGAAAATCAATTTAATGTCAGATGAATTTTCACAAAGATCTTTGAATATTTTTTTGACCCCAATCGGATGGTAAACAATTAACTTGCATAGAAACGTTATTAATTTACCACAATTGCAGGTGGAATTTTCAAAATCACTAAACCGCATATTCTTTAAATTCTTATTTAGGGCTTAGACAACTTAAACGATTGCTCAAAAAATCAACGATCCACATTTTTCACCGAGGAGGTTTGGATTTTGTAAAAAAAATCACGTCTCAAGTGAATTTTTATAAAGATCCTTAGAAATGAATTTAAACCAAAACGTCACCCTTAAATGTTTGACCGCTATTTCCGAAAAGTGTGAAACACCGCTCAAATGAGTTTGAACAAATTGATGAGGGTTCATCACCAATCAGTCAGCACAAACAGATATATATGTAGAGATTAACTTATGAATAAACTGTGCTAATCAAGGAATCGCGGCTACTTTCGCCACGCCGAAAATTTAGTACCTTTGTAGACATTCAGCTTACGTCTTTGCAAATATGTGAGATTTATAAAGTTCGTCATGCTCAGTTGTCTGAAAATATCTTGGTTAAAGGAATGTTTTATTTTTAAACGGACGCTTGCCATACAGCTATATAATATTAAAGTGCGATAGTGAAAATAATAAATTCTGGGATTGTTCAAGAAATCTTGAAAAAAAATGTTTTTTAACAAGGACATCATTTTCGAAGTCCGTTCCAATGGCAGCTAAGATATAGGTCCGATGCTGTTATGATTTCGTATATACGTAAGGAGCATAATGGTACTATTAAACGGGAAGTTTGGTCCAGATTTCATAAAATATGTGTTCTTTCAAGACCCTACTTTTCAACGATCGTCCTACTGCACCTATATAATATAATATAGTGTCCCGATCAGCTTGCGCAACATGTACCACTTCAAGCCGGTAGTATTAGAAATGAGAGATAAGTTTGCATAGAAACAGACAGAGTAGATGATCAAGAATATATGCTTTATGGGGTCTCCTTTTATACGTTACACATTTCATGACAAAATTATAATATCCTCTGCAAGGGTAATATAAGTGTATGGAAATAAACTGTGACCAAGTGTACCACAGCAATTTAGCTCTTAATAGAAATCAGCTGAGAAGGTAGTGTAGAAAACCGTTCTTAAATCAAGAGTTTTGTTATCTTAGTTACACTTGGCAATTCTGTTCCCATTCACCCATACACAGAGTTTGCGCGAAGCGAATACTCGCTGACAAGAGTAACAAGTTGTTGTGGTGGTATATTTCTCTTTTATTGTTCTGGTTTTTGAGTTTCTCTTAAGCGTTTTTCTCCGAGAGAGTTTGTATACGTGTGTGTACGTTAGTAAATGGTCAGCCGTTCATGAATTCGGATGCATGTATGAATTTCATTCTCTTCGCCGTAGTCGCCTTAAACTCTCTTTGGAACAGCCATAGCTTCGAAAGGACAATGTTTGCCGAATTATAATCATATCCTTCTGTTAATCCGAAGAGTGAACAACAGTTGTCGCAGTACTCGTTGTAACATAAACAGTTTGATTTGTGAAAATTGGCCCTCGTGCATAGAATATCGCAGACGTTAGTGGTTAGTTTTTTAAAATGGACATATCAGCTTACCAGCATATGAATATTCGAATGAGTACTCGTGGCAAACGACCACTTCGCAATCTAACGCCTAATGACAAAGTGCGGGCAATTCAAAGAATTCATAATGGAGAAACAAAAGCTAGTGTTTCGAGGGACATTGGAGTTCCTGAATCTACGCTTCGTGGTTGGTGTAAAAATGAGCAAAAGTTAAGGTTTATGTGTCGTCAATTGGGATCAGATAACTTGGGTCTTGCAAATCTCGACACACCACCAGAAAAACGCGCCAAATTTGAGCTTCAACTGCTGCCCACGAAATTCGCACCATTGCCCAATTATGACGAGCTTAGTCTTAGCAATTTGCCATATCAGGCGATGGATTACACATCTTACAATGAGACATTATTAGAAAAGTCGGCTTTAGTCGAGTTCATAAAAAGAAATGGAGTTCACACCGAAGCAATGCAACAAATATCGGATGGTCACTCTGCCAGTACAGATTCTATCTCATCTGTGTGGGGATACTCAACAAACAATATGGTGCAACAGCTTAACTTGCTGGCACTTTTGAACTCAAAGCTGCCTCATAAATTAAATTATATTGCTGATAGCGGCATACCTAACCCTAAGCCTGAATGTACTACTGCATTAGAAGAATCAAAAAAATATAATTGTCCCTTGCTAAGTGTCAAAAACTGGGCAAAGGATCCTGCGAAATATGGGGCACCTACTCAAACACAATGCATTAATGATAATAACAATAATGATATTGATTGTCCTCTGACATCAACACCTACTCCAGTTGTCACCAGCCATTCTTCACCGACGACTGGCGAGCCTCCTTCCATGGTACAAACATCATTTGGAAATCACTCAAGCCAAGCAGCTGCAAATTTTACACCAGCGACAGATACCGATTGTCAGGGTGGCACCCTGCTGGATTGGTGTAAAATGTTTAGCGCAAGCCTGAATTTTTTTGCATTTGCTGCAGCTGCGGCTACCATGCACCCCGCAGTTGAAGCCCTGCCTACAACAATGGAGTTGACGACTGAAACAAACGATGCTGTTGGTTTAAATGATGTACTTCTAAAAAGGTTAAGTTCTTCGGTTCATTGTGAGTCTTCCAAGGAAAGTTATTACGACAGCGAACCAGAAGATTTGTCCGTTCGTTCCTGTGCTTCAAAAGTATCTAGTCCGGGAAACAGCCGATCGCACAGTCCCGATAAAAGAAGTACGTCAAGCTCATCAATACACAGCGATATTGATCAATAGTCACTTTGGAAATATCATTGTGGATAATTCTAAAGTACTTGTAATTCTTCTATCGTCTTTTAGATAAATCGAATCGTATAACTTATTAAACCCGGGGCAAGACAGTTACAATTTAAATCATTGAATGTATCCAAGCAATAATCAGTATGAAATAATAACAACTACTTATTAATTTTAACATCGTAACACAACTATCGTTGACTGTGTATAAAACCAAACGCAATTTACATAATTAAAAAGTTCTAGATGTATTTATTAGCTTAAATCTTTTGGCATATTCCAAATCAATTTATTAAGTTTTTAATTTTTGTTGTACAAAATAAATTACATGTATTTTTAAGTATCATCGAAATAAAATATTTATTACTTGAAAATGTATAAATAAATTGTCATATGAATGCAGTGTCATCTTTAAATCTTTTCAGTTACATACTTCTTACTATCTGCGATTTTACTAATTCATCTATATACTTATGTTTATACAATTTGTCCATCACACAAAAGCCAATACATGTTGTTCAGTCATTTGGTTCAGTCAATAATTAGTTGAACAGGTTTCCTGACATCGAGAAATTTCGACTTACAGCCCTTACATTTTGCTATTTGGTTTATATATCCACAAATTACCATCTTAAATATCTAAAAATGTCATAACAAATGGCCAACATTGAAGTTGTTTACAAAAATTTATACCCTGCAAGGATCGGTAGAAAATTAAAATAGGAACAAATTTTTGCTTATCAAGATACCTTGAGGCAACCCGGCATTTATTATTTTCACTATGCTCCTTACATACATATGAGCCAAATCTTATGAATATAAGCAAAGTCATAAATGTAGATCTATGGAAAAAAAGATATTAAGGTATCATAAGCAAAATTCCGGAATTCCGTTCTTTTGATGCTATGGCCCGAACCAATTTCATAAATATTTAGCGTGCCTAAACTTAAACTGTTTTTCTTTTTAAATATGGTATGGTTAAGGTTTAGGTTCACAAATGAGCTCAAGAAACATTTAAAGTAATATTTGAAAATTATTCTGTTTTTTACATATTTGTACATATATTTTCAAACATACATTTTTTTCATATATGTATGTACATTATCGAGTTCAAATTTTTTGAACTGGCAATGCTTCATTTACTAGGTAAGCTCTCGACAGGATATTCGGTCGTCCGTTGAAGGAATTGAATCTGAAAAACTCAACAAATGAATACACCAGTGAAAATTGTTGATAATTTTGTCCAAATTACCCAATGCTCCTGGTCAGAACGTTTAAATTTGTTTACCGCCGTTTTCCCTTGGACTTTGTCGACGTTTGTTGCCTTACCTATTTGATTTTATTTATTAGTTTCAGACCTTTTTATCCCCTGAACCCATTAAAAATTGGTAAGAAGGGTATAATGTATTTGTGCAAAAGGGAGCATCTCTGACCCCATAAAGTATATATATTCATGATCAGCATCAATAGCCGAGTCGATCTAACCATGTCCATCTGCCTGTCTGTCCGTATGTATAAACGCAATGATCTCAGAACCTATAAGAGCTAGAGTCTTGAAATTTAAGCTGTAGGTCCTCCTAGTGCCCGCGCAGATCGAGTTTGTTTCCGATATTCGATAACTTGCCCCGTTTCCAAGTAATCGATAAGAATCGATATCGAACTCCTGTTTTTGAGCAATTTTGGTAAATAATATGAGCTAGAGTCACCAAACTTGACATGTAGCTTTTAGAATAGTATATATATCAAATATCTTTCATTTTATTCCTATCGCCACCTCCCCGCTACCACCACAAAGCTATAAATCAAGTTAATAATCCAACTTGTATTGCCCAGCAATTTAAGCCACAATTTATATGCAATTGACTTTTTGAGAATACACAAATATTTCAATGAGATCGGTTACGAAACACAAAAGTTATGTGCGCACGTGTTAGCAGCATCTAGCGCAAATACCAAGAATTTCTGTATATATGTACACACACACATTCATGCGCGTTTGCTTTCAATTCTATCAACAGCATTGCAAATGCGATTGTATTTCTTTCTGTGCTGCTACTTTAATTAGTTTTTTTTTCATTAAAACTCAATTAATGGTGTGGCTGTTGAGTAAAACGGCGGCAAGTAGTGCAGTGTGTAGCTAGTTCGAACCCTACCGAGGAAACTATTTTATTTTTTGGCTGGTGTGGCTGTTGATTAGAGGCGGCATCAAGTAATGCGGTCTGTTGCGCGTTCGAACCCTGCCAAAAGAACTTTTTTTTTATTATACGCTGAACCCATTGAAAATGGGTAAAAAGGGTATAATGTTTTTGTGCAAATGTATGTAACAGGCAAAAGGAAGCATCTTCGATCCAATAAAGTGTATACATTCTTGATGAGCATCAACAGCCGAGTCGATCTAGCCATGTCCGTCTGTCTGTCCGTCCGTCCGTATGTATGAACGCAAGGATCTCAGAACCTATCCACAATTTATCCACAATTTAAAGGTGTTTTCTTTTTGTGAGTGTACGATGGCCCAAAAGGATTTAATACATCACAATTGCAACGCGTAAGAATTTCTTTTTATCGAATTCTCCTAAATGGACTGTATCCGAAAGCGATACCTTTTTGTTTTGTTTAATTCAGTTCTGTTAATGCTTAAGGAAACGATCGCGTAGCGCGACCTGCATTTGGTTGAATAAGGTGTAGGGTTTCGAATGCCCCTAGACGGACACTCTCGACTCTTACTACTTAGTTTTAATTTGAGAAACATATTTTCTTTAAAAATTTGCGATCGAATACATTTTATAATGGGTTTCTATTATTTATATTTCTATTATATAAAAAAATCGTTCTTAATTTGAGTTTAAATTTAAAATAAAATTGTTTGAAACAGTTTTTCTAAAAATTAAAATAATTTTTAAGCATCACAAAAATTTCTATGATCAGGAAACATTTTAGTCTCTAAGTCTTATAACTGACTGTTTTGGAAGTAATCTCATTTTCCAAGATCATTATAAATATTCATTTGAGATGTGTTTTACACCTTTTGGAATGAAAGTTTGTTAGGCATCTTTAGGGAAATGTTTACTCAAATTTTGGGTTCTAAATTCGATGGGCATAAAACTCATTTCAAATATCTGTTAAATTAAATTTAAGTGGAAAATGCGTGGGAAAGTTCTCCGAAATTTGAAGCAAAAATTTAATAGGGATTCAAGATTCTTAAAAATTAAGTTAATTTAAAATATGTTTTTGTATTGACTTTCATTTGATCATTTAGTAAACATTTGCCTGCAAAAATTTACAGAAGCTTCGGTCGGGAAATAATTATCTACTCTAAACAAAGTCGAACAGCAAGAGCAGCCGCAACAGACGAATGATTGGTTCACCTTTTGGTTAAATTAAATATTGCGTGTTGGTAATTTCCGCTTGGTTTCTTGTTGCTGCTGCCAACTGTTGAAGTTGAAGCGAATTATTACGATGATTACGCGACTGACAAAGTTTCCATGCATTCATGTCATCCATCCGGCCTTCCAGCCAAGCTTTCAATGTATGCGTCAACATAGCATGTGATGTTTATGTAAACATCTTCGTGGCATTCTGGATGAGGATTAAATTACTTAAAAGCAATCCTCTGGGCATATCCACAGCATTGGCATCCAACTGCTGTCAATATTGTGACGCCTCGTAACCCGTTCGATCGTAGCTGAACATGTATATATACATATATGTACTGAAGTTGTACGTATGTATGCTAAGATATTGAAATTTATAGACATATTGCATGTATGTATCTATAACTAGAAAAATTAAACTTTAATAAGTACTTATTATACCCTTGCAGAGGGTATTATAATTTTGTCGTGAAATGTGTAACGCATAGAAGGAGACATCTCCGACCCCATAAAGTATATATATTCTTGATCAGTATCAACAGCCGAGATGATATAGCCATGTCCGTCTGTCCGACTGTCTGTTTCTATGCGAACTAGTCACTCAGTTTTAAAGCTATCTTTATGAAACTTTGCAGAAGTCCCTCTTTCTGTTGCACGCAGTTCATATGTCAAAACCAGCTGGATCGGACCACTATATCATATAGCTGCCATAGGAACGATCGGTCGAAAAGTAGGTTCTTGTATGAAAAACATTTTTGTTTATAAAGTTATCTTTACTAAACTTGGTATTTATTAGTTTTACTGCGTTCCCCATATATATGCAAAATCCTATTAAGATCGGACAACTATATCATATAGTTGCCATAGGAACGATCGGTCGAAAATTAAGTTTTTGTATGGAACATTTTTATGTTTTTCAAGATATCTTGACCAAACTCGGTACTTATTAGTTTTACTAAGCTCCCCATATATATGCAAAATTCTATTAAGATCGGGCAACTATATCATATAGCTGCCATAGGAAAGATCGGTCGAAAATTAAGTTTTTGTATGGAAAATTTTTATGTGTTTCAAGATATCTTGACCAAACTCGGCATTTATTAGTTTTACTATGCTCCCTCCACTTATGCAAAATCTTATTCACATCGGGCTACTATATCATATAGCTGCCATAGGAACGATCGGTCGACAATTAAGTTGTTGTACGGAAACCTGTTTTTTTTTCATGATATCTTAACCATACTCGGCATTAACTATTTTCCCTGTGCTTCTAAGATACGGGCAAAGCACTATAAGCATTTTGAAAAGGTTGGGTCTGCAAGGGTATTAAATCTTCGGGGTGCCGAAGATAGCAATTCTTTCTCGTTTTCGTATCGTTTCGAATCTTTATGGATGTTTTAGTCTTAACTTAATTCATACTGCTCAGTGCTATTTATAGAAGATTAATAATATAACTTGACTTCACTCTAGTCGGGAGTTCCCGACTAAGGGGCACCAAATGCCGATCGTTCCTATGGCAGCTATATGATATAAAGATCCGATGTTAACATGATTTTGCATAAATGTAGGGAGCATAGTGAAACTTATCAATACCAAGTTTGGTCAAGATATCGAAAAAAATACCAAAAATGTTTTCTATACAACAACTTCATTTCGATCGTTCCTATCGCAGTTATGTAACATAGGAGTCCGATCCAGCTGGCTCCGACATATGTACTGCGTGCAACAGAAAAATGCACTTCTGCAAAGTTTCACGACGATAGCCTTACAACTGGGAGACTAGTTCACATAGAAGTAGACAGACGGATACGGTTGATACTGATCAAGAATATATATACTTTATGGGGTCTGAGATGTCTTCTTCTATGAGTTACA